TTGCATTCTTTTTTGTGATTACATCAATGTATCATCCTATATTAATTATTTACCAGTTTTCAACATTTTGAAATGCCGTGTACCGTCAGCCGTTTTTGTCGATTGGCATCGACTGCTTTAGTTACAATGGAGACAATAAACAAAACAAAACCTCCATGAATCCATGGCCTACTATTTAAAGTAAAAAAGGTTCTTATTGTTTATTGTTTCATCGCTAAAATTAAAAAAAATAGGTTAAGATACATCAATGTAATCAGGAAAAGGAATGATAAGAAATTGACGTTAAGATATACAGAGTGTTGCATTTACTATAAATACCAATTTTGGGTCAAACCTCAGAAATTTTTCGTTTTCACCCTGTATCTCAGAAACAAACGCAGCTAAGATGGTTCTGTTTGGTATTATACGTTTTCACAAAACCCCAAGTCTATCTTTTAAAAAACATCTGAGATTGCCACTGCAGTCATCAACCAAACAGGGCACACGATTGAATTTTTAATTTACAAAAATCGTGATGGGACCCAGGTTTCAGAAGGGGCCGTGAGATTTGGCATGTGTTTTAGACTATCAATCGGCTATTTTAAAAAAATCCCTATTGTCGGTTAACTACTACTCATTTCCATGTAATAAATGATCTCCCCTCTCGTTATAACGGCTACGAACCTAGCCCTCATGGCCAAAATGTCAAATAACATCCTCTGAATAACAGGGAAGATGTATGATGCAGTACACTACACTTAATTCCTACAACTTTAAGCTTAATACCAAACAATTATACATGGTAAAGTACACACCGACTTTTTTTGTCATTTGTTAAAATTAGGATAACGTTAACCCTACCACAATGATAATGATAAATCTAAGAAAGCTTTTCTCACACCAGCACTTCGCTGAGTATAAAGATAATGAGAGGCCCCCCCCCCCCCCCCGTAGTATGTTTTGCCGCCAAATCGTTTATGACACTTATATTTGGTGTACTGACTGGGGGTATGCTATAGCCCCCCCCCCCTCGGGAAATCGAGAGATTGGATGCGAAGTTCTAAAGAATTATGATTTAAGCATAATGAAAACGCTTAGTTAACAATTTAATATTTTACTTTTCAGTGATTGGTGCGAAAGTGTGGACGTGCAGTGTTTCCTCTCTCCTGCGGTTAATGGTGCTTCTTGGCCGGGTCAGAATCAATAAGGCTAAGGGTAAATTTCTTTTTTTTTCAATTGCGGCATATAACGGGCGATCAAAAATAAGTTGCTGTCGAGTCGCCTTTGGAAGTTTTAAGTTAAATACGATTTCCCATGTAAACAATATTTCAAAGGCGACTCGACAGCGACTCATTTTTGATCGCATAGTATATCTACTATCACGAAAAATAAATAATATAAATTAATATAATCCGGTTTTTAGCTTTTAACGTAAATTAATCTCTTGTTTCAGATTCCAGAAAGGCAGCCTTATAAAGGTAGGATTTTTCTTATACATTGCATGTTGCCTTATATCTATGTATTCAGTGGGGGAGTGAATAGTGCATTAGTGACTAAAAGGAAGATCATCGACAACTTTTAGCCGACCTACTTATGATAGTACTGATGAGTTATGACCATCTTCTCATCCTAATTTTGGTGACGTAGGGTTCTCCTTAATAATTGTTTAAGAGTGTCTTTCGTGACACCATCAGTTTACTTCATATTAACCAGTATGACTGTGACTTCATAGCCATACCAGTTTTATGAAGTGAACGGGTTGTCTCTACGGACGAGATTACGAAAAATTATTGCAGATAACTCCTCCGTAGCT